GGCAGTCCACCACTGTTTCCTATCCTTATAAGCGGTATTTTGAACATTCCGCCCGCCTTCGTCAACTGTAGTTGACGAAAATTAATTACTGAGTAGATTCAACTTCTAACGGACATATCTTTACAATAGGTAGTTTACATTCAGAAAATTGAGTTTTAACGGTGACTACTCGAATGTGACCGTCAGGTCTTGCATGTGTTTCAGTGACTCTTCCTAAGGGCCATTTTGAAGGTGGATATCTCTCATCTACAACAAAGACAATAGAACCCACAGCAATATCAGTATTGCCTTTATTCCATTTGTAAATTGAAAGCTGTCGCTGAAGATAGTCGGGTGAGCTCTTTATCTGCTCCTATAAAATTGGTACCACAATCACTTGTGAGTGTTGCACAAATCCCTCGTCTAGATGTAAATCGTCGATAAGCTGCAATGAATGCTTCAGCTGTATAGTCGGTAACGAATTCTAAATGAAGTGCAGATGTTGCGAAACAAACAAACAATGCTATGTATCCTTTGTATGTCTTAGCGTTCTTTCCTTTCCATGTTTTAATGGTGAAAGGCCCTGCATAGTCTACGCCTGAATGCAAAAACGAACGTGATGGAACAACTCTATTTATAGGTAGCTGACCCATAATTTGCTGAGCTCGCTTTTGACGAAAGCGAGTGCACTTGATACACTTATGAATGAAAGCTTTAACTGCTAATCGACCGTTTAAGATCCAATATGTTTCGCGAATATAGGATAATGTAACTTGCACTCCTCCGTGAAGAGTTCGAAAATGTGCGTCATTTATAACCAATGTAGTAAACGAGGAATCTTTGGGTAAGATTAATGGATGTTTTGATTCATTCGATAATAACGCATGTTGAAGTCGTCCACCTACTCGTAGTAATCCATCAGAATCGATGTACGGCGTAAGACGGATCAATGAATTTGATTTAGCGAGAGATTGTCCCTGAGCAAGAGTCTTTAATTCTGCCGAAAACGAATAATGTTGTACATTCTTTACCCAAAAGTATTTTTCATTATTTATGTCATCAATTGAAAGGAAAGAATTGACCGTAGCGTTGGTATTCTTATGCGTCTTGCGAATGAATTTTCTACATAAGGCTGTAATTCGAAGTAATTTAGTAAGGCTTGAATATCTTAATACAAGATTCCAAATTTCCATAATTTTCGTTGTTACACAAGAACGCATTTTGGTTTCTCTCTCTTCGAGATTTTCAGTTACGACAGATGATGAATCCTTTGGCCAAGCTGACCTGTCTTCCGATAACCATTTTGGACCACTCCACCACATAGAACTGTCATTCAATTGAGCGGGAGAAATCCCTCGTGTTGCCAGATCAGCTGGGTTTTCCAAACCTGGAACTAAACCCCATTTGCACTGTGGCAAAGCGTCCTGAATGAAGCATACTCGATTATGGACAAACTCCTTCCATCGAGATGGATGATTATTAATCCATATGCTAGTGACCTTTGAGTCTGTCCATGCGAATATTGGCAAATTGGGTTTATTGAATGTCAGAAGAATAGATTTCATCAATTTTACGAGTAATACAGCTGCTAAGAGCTCAAGTCTAGGAATTGTTAATCTTTTCAACGGTGCGACCTTTGTCTTTGAAGCTACCAAGGTAATGGTAATCAAACTATTAGTAGAACACGATCGCAAATAAACAACTGCTGCTATTGCATTTTGAGATGCATCACTGAACCCATGCACTTCAAACGAGTCGACTGAATTTAACCCAATCCACCTTGGAAAGGTAAAGCTCGAGGCTTCGCGTAACTGCAATAAAAACTGCTGCCATTTATTCAGCAGAAGGTGAGGGAGTCTCTCATCCCAACCAAGTCCACTTGACCACAGTTCCTGAACAATAATTCTTCCGGTGATAGTAATGGGTGAAATGAATCCTAACGGATCGAAAATCTTTGAAATTGTTGAAAGTATAGTACGTTTCGAAATTACCTTAGGCTCCTCAAGATTCAAAGTGAATTTAAATTGATCGATTGAAGGATTCCATGATAGGCCAAGTGTATGTATCATGGAGGATTCATCTATTTGGACAGATGATGTATCAATTCTATTTTCTGATGGAATGGAACGAAGAACCGATTGTTCATTGCTAACTCATTTTTTCAAAGGGAAGCCGCCCGCCATACAAAGCTTATCTACCTGCTCGACAACCTTACATGTTTGCTGAATAGTATCCTCTCCTCCAAAAAAATCGTCAACATACCTTCCATTTTTCATAGTTGGAAGAGCGAGAGGAAATTTATGTCCTTCGTCGAGGATCAATTGTTCGAATGATCGTAAAGCTAAGAACGGTGCACATATAAACCCATACGTTACGGTTAACAGAATAAATATAATAATTATTCCTAGATGATCTATCCAAACAATTCTTTGATAATTCCAGTCATCGGGATGTATCCGTATTTGTCTGTACATCTTCTCGATGTCAGCAAAGAAAACGTATCAAAATGATCTAAACCATGTAAGAACGTTAAACAAATTAACTTGTAATTTTGCTCCCGGATGGAGGAGTTCATTGATAGAATACCCAGTCGTAGTTTTACTTGACGCGTTAACGACTACTCTTAACTTTGTACTAAGAGATTGTTCCCGGTAAACTCCGTGATGCGGCAGATAATTAACTTTATCCGGTTCATCTTGTGAATTTTGTACCCTTTTCATGTGATTTAAATCTTCATATTCTTTAATAAAATGCTCGTACAATTTAGCGTGAGATACATTACTAGAAAATCTGTGACGTAAGTTAGTCATTACTCGAATAGCTTTTGATTTTGAATTTCCAAGTTTGTCTGGTGCATCTTTAAAAGGAAGTTTTACAATGTATCTCCCGGTAGCGTCCCGAGAATGAGTAGCTTCGAAATGGTCTTCACAGTCTTGTTCGTCTTTAGTTAACGTCTTAGCATTAATCGAAATTTCTTCAGTTTCCCAAAACCGTTTAAGCAGGTTGTGAATGTCATCAGTGATGGACACATGATAACCTTGAACTCTAGGATTGGTTGTGCTAGGACTTGTCACCCCGGAAACAATCCAACCTAGCCTTGTGGCTTGAGCGATAGGAGTGTCAGGTTCTCCTCTAATGATTCCGTCTTTTATAATTCGACTGTAGATATCAGCACCAATTATTAAGTCAATTTTTCCCTTTTTATGAAAATCAGGATCAGCTAATTTTAGATTTTTCAAATGATCCCATTTATCCTTATTATGTGAGAGAGAAGGCATCGAAGAAGTTAATTTCGGTAAAATGTAAGCTTGTATCTTAACTTCAAATTCTGACAAAAAATGTGGTTTGAGCAGAAATGAGGTAGTCCCTTTTGTCTGGTTATTTTTCGCACCAATTCCTGTTAACGATACTGAAGAATGAACTCTAGGTAAATTGAGTTGTTGAACAACTCTCTCTGTAATAATTGCCGCTTCTGAACCCTGATCTACGAGTGCTCTCAATTTTCTGGATTGCCCTGTTGCAGAAATAACCAAAACTCTTGCAGTAGCCAAAAGAATAGACGATCCTATCGACTCGTCATGATGAGAATGCAAAACTTTAGCATCCTGTTTTGACGAAGTATTTGAAGAGGATTCCTGTTTTGTATGATTATTATTGTTCTCCTTTCCCTTTAATTTAGAAGATTCGTTGGAATGAATTGAAGTGTGGTGTTTACGACCGCACTTCTGGCACCGTTTAGTGACTCTACATTGAGCAACTCGATGAGATCCTAAGCAATTATAACAAAGCTTGTGTGTGGATATAAATGTTAATTTTTGCTGTATCGTCTTCGACGCGTATCGAGGGCAAAAGGATATGAAATGCTTTTCTTTACACAAAATACAGGCACCTTTTTCGTTTGATTTACCTTGATGATGAACCTTTGCTGAGAATTGTTTTGTTGATTGCAAAATTCGCTTTTGCTGAGAGCTCTCAAAGGACTGTAATGATGACATTCGGGCAAATAAAAAATCATGAAACTGTTTCCATGAAGGAGGTTTTCTACTGGAACCTAATTGTGATTCCCATACTTTATTCGATTCTAAATCTAGCTTTTGAGTGCAAATAAAATTCAAAATATGGTCCCAATGAGCGACTGGACATCCTAACGTTTCAAAGGTCCGATACAATTGCATGATATCTGAATACAATTGCTGCAGTTCTGAGCCTGATTCTTTGTTAACTCGTTTCAGATTAAATAAGGATTGAAGCGTAGAATTTATTAATAATCGCGTGTTCTCATAGAATTCTACGAGAGCATCCCATGTCTTTTGAAAATTCTCCGCAGTTAATGCTATATGCTGAACCAAATTGAGCGCTGTGCCCTCCAAATGAGTTTTTTAAATACTGCAATTTTTCAACCGCAGACAACGTTTGGCTTGTCACTATCATTGAGTGAAAGAGATTTTTAAACGCAAGCCATTTATCAGAATTACCATCAAAGTGGGGAATTTTTATAAAAGGCAACTTTGCATTCTGAAGATAATTAAACCCAGCACTAGGAAGAGGCACTGATTGATTTGACGTAGTTGAAACAGCAGTTGAATGATGCCCCGTTGAGAGAACAGAAGCTAACTGATTTGACGTTGTTGGCACCGAGGCTGACTGATTTGACGTTGATGGCACAGAAGTTGCCTGAATTGACGAAACCTCTGTGGTAGCACTTTGAGCATGTTCCAACAATGAAGTAAATCTTTCGAACGAGTTTAAATAATCCTCTCTGGTTGTATCGTAAATATTTTCTTTGAAGTAAAAATGATTTAGGATTTCGCGTTGTTCCTCAATTGAAAGTTTCGGTATTGATATTGTTACCGCGGTATGAACAAGATGAAATTGATTCCAAATCCCCTTTAGTTCTGAAAGTTGCGTTTGAATGTGCTGATTAGAAGTATTTAATAGTCCTATTCCAATGAAAACATCATAGAAATCTGTAATGTTTATACTGAGCGCTAAAAGCTGCTCAAGCTTACTCGTTATATGTTCAATGCGCATTTTGAAAGTATTATATGTCCTTATTTGAATTTAAACTATTATTATAGTGAAAGGCTCTTTACAATTTTAGTACTATTGTTTCATGCCTCCTCAACACCATACGACTGTATATCCGAGACTTAAAGTAACTCAGACTAATTTTCTATAACTGATTCTTGTTTATCCGGCTCGAAGGACCAAAAAATGTACACGCTCCGAATGAATCGTGATCTACGTACTGGTGTTAAGGAT